CCACATCCTATATGGCTCCTGTCAAACAGTTTAACCGAACGTAAACAATCATTTAAGAGTGCTCCAAGCAGTTTTTGAAGCTTTTAACCAAATGGTAATACAACTACATTCTTGTACAACTCTGGAAGCTATTATTCAACGTTTGATCAACTCAGGTGTTGTATAAGAGCTCCCAATGGTTTGTTTTGATGCGTTTATTTCACGTTCTATATAGCTCTTGTCAATCGGTTTAACTAAGGTGCTATAAAAGTTTTCGTAGGTCTTATAAAGCATATAGGTAAACCGAACGTAAACAATCATTTAAGAGTGCTCCAAGCAGTTTTTGAAGCTTTTAACCAAATGGTAATACAACTACATTCTTGTACAACTCTGGAAGCTATTATTCAACGTTTGATCAACTCAGGTGTTGTATAAGAGCTCCCAATGGTTTGTTTTGATGCGTTTATTCCACATCCTATATGGCTCCTGTCAAACAGTTTAACCGAACGTAAACAATCATTTAAGAGTGCTCCAAGCAGTTTTTGAAGCTTTTAACCAAATGGTAATACAACTACATTCTTGTACAACTCTGGAAGCTATTATTCAACGTTTGATCAACTCAGGTGTTGTATAAGAGCTCCCAATGGTTTGTTTTGATGCGTTTATTCCACATCCTATATGGCTCCTGTCAAACAGTTTAACCGAACGTAAACAATCATTTAAGAGTGCTCCAAGCAGTTTTTGAAGCTTTTAACCAAATGGTAATACAACTACATTCTTGTACAACTCTGGAAGCTATTATTCAACGTTTGATCAACTCAGGTGTTGTATAAGAGCTCCCAATGGTTTGTTTTGATGCGTTTATTTCACGTTCTATATAGCTCTTGTCAATCGGTTTAACTAAGGTGCTATAAAAGTTTTCGTAGGTCTTATAAAGCATATAGGTAAACCGAACGTAAACAATCATTTAAGAGTGCTCCAAGCAGTTTTTGAAGCTTTTAACCAAATGGTAATACAACTACATTCTTGTACAACTCTGGAAGCTATTATTCAACGTTTGATCAACTCAGGTGTTGTATAAGAGCTCCCAATGGTTTGTTTTGATGCGTTTATTCCACATCCTATATGGCTCCTGTCAAACAGTTTAACCGAACGTAAACAATCATTTAAGAGTGCTCCAAGCAGTTTTTGAAGCTTTTAACCAAATGGTAATACAACTACATTCTTGTACAACTCTGGAAGCTATTATTCAACGTTTGATCAACTCAGGTGTTGTATAAGAGCTCCCAATGGTTTGTTTTGATGCGTTTATTTCACGTTCTATATAGCTCTTGTCAATCGGTTTAACTAAGGTGCTATAAAAGTTTTCGTAGGTCTTATAAAGCATATAGGTAAACCGAACGTAAACAATCATTTAAGAGTGCTCCAAGCAGTTTTTGAAGCTTTTAACCAAATGGTAATACAACTACATTCTTGTACAACTCTGGAAGCTATTATTCAACGTTTGATCAACTCAGGTGTTGTATAAGAGCTCCCAATGGTTTGTTTTGATGCGTTTATTCCACATCCTATATGGCTCCTGTCAAACAGTTTAACCGAACGTAAACAATCATTTAAGAGTGCTCCAAGCAGTTTTTGAAGCTTTTAACCAAATGGTAATACAACTACATTCTTGTACAACTCTGGAAGCTATTATTCAACGTTTGATCAACTCAGGTGTTGTATAAGAGCTCCCAATGGTTTGTTTTGATGCGTTTATTTCACGTTCTATATAGCTCTTGTCAATCGGTTTAACTAAGGTGCTATAAAAGTTTTCGTAGGTCTTATAAAGCATATAGGTAAACCGAACGTAAACAATCATTTAAGAGTGCTCCAAGCAGTTTTTGAAGCTTTTAACCAAATGGTAATACAACTACATTCTTGTACAACTCTGGAAGCTATTATTCAACGTTTGATCAACTCAGGTGTTGTATAAGAGCTCCCAATGGTTTGTTTTGATGCGTTTATTCCACATCCTATATGGCTCCTGTCAAACAGTTTAACCGAACGTAAACAATCATTTAAGAGTGCTCCAAGCAGTTTTTGAAGCTTTTAACCAAATGGTAATACAACTACATTCTTGTACAACTCTGGAAGCTATTATTCAACGTTTGATCAACTCAGGTGTTGTATAAGAGCTCCCAATGGTTTGTTTTGATGCGTTTATTTCACGTTCTATATAGCTCTTGTCAATCGGTTTAACTAAGGTGCTATAAAAGTTTTCGTAGGTCTTATAAAGCATATAGGTAAACCGAACGTAAACAATCATTTAAGAGTGCTCCAAGCAGTTTTTGAAGCTTTTAACCAAATGGTAATACAACTACATTCTTGTACAACTCTGGAAGCTATTATTCAACGTTTGATCAACTCAGGTGTTGTATAAGAGCTCCCAATGGTTTGTTTTGATGCGTTTATTCCACATCCTATATGGCTCCTGTCAAACAGTTTAACCGAACGTAAACAATCATTTAAGAGTGCTCCAAGCAGTTTTTGAAGCTTTTAACCAAATGGTAATACAACTACATTCTTGTACAACTCTGGAAGCTATTATTCAACGTTTGATCAACTCAGGTGTTGTATAAGAGCTCCCAATGGTTTGTTTTGATGCGTTTATTTCACGTTCTATATAGCTCTTGTCAATCGGTTTAACTAAGGTGCTATAAAAGTTTTCGTAGGTCTTATAAAGCATATAGGTAAACCGAACGTAAACAATCATTTAAGAGTGCTCCAAGCAGTTTTTGAAGCTTTTAACCAAATGGTAATACAACTACATTCTTGTACAACTCTGGAAGCTATTATTCAACGTTTGATCAACTCAGGTGTTGTATAAGAGCTCCCAATGGTTTGTTTTGATGCGTTTATTCCACATCCTATATGGCTCCTGTCAAACAGTTTAACCGAACGTAAACAATCATTTAAGAGTGCTCCAAGCAGTTTTTGAAGCTTTTAACCAAATGGTAATACAACTACATTCTTGTACAACTCTGGAAGCTATTATTCAACGTTTGATCAACTCAGGTGTTTTATAAGAGCTCCCAATTGTTTGTTTTGATGCGTTTATTCCACGTTCTGTATAGCTCTTGTGAATCAGTTTAACTAAGGTGCTATAAAAGTTATCGTAGGTCTTATAAAGCATATAGTTAAGCCGAACGTAAACAATCATTTAAGAGTGCTCCAACAGCTTTTAAAACTTTTAATCAAATGGCAATACAACTACTTTCTTGTTCAACTCTGGAAGCTATTATTCAACGTTTGATCAACTCAGGTGTTTTATAAGAGCTCTCAATTGTTTGTTGGGTAGCCAGGTAGAGCAACCCATTATGGGAGAACTTGCTCGATGCGCACCTGCGCATTGCACAGGTAATTGCAGGTCCAAGTATATATATTTGCCTTGAATGATCTACCTGGTGTTTTTTCTTGTTCCCGGTCTACTTCGAGGAATCCACCGTCATCCCATACGTCCGTTGAATCAATCTGGGAAAAATGATCATACGGTCACCATTAAGCCAGCGAATGCGGTATAATGCGGAATCGGAGCCTCGACAGTGAATAGTTAAATGGAACGAATTTGTAAATAGTAGTATTAAGAAACATTGAAACATTCCATATTTCAAGGTGGCCGGAATGTTGGAGATAGGAATAAGATTTTGTAAATATCAATCCAAATAGTTAAGTGTTGAATTACCATTCCAAATGATATAGACTGTTATTGAATTGCGAGCAGAGAGAGAGAGAGAGAGAATTTTATATTACGATATCGACCGATAGATAGCCGATGGTCACTACCACAGTAGGAGATAAGGGACGAGCAAATTTATGTAAATAGTTCACTTACAAAATACACGTTGAAGGAAACAGTACCTACGTCGTCTGTTTCTCTGGTCGGTCGATGACAAATTTTTCTTGTGATCAGTGATTCGGTTTGGGCAGAATTCGTCTCGGTGCTAGTGATCTACTAGCGAAGAAAGTCCTTCTAGTGCGGCAAGACGTCTATCGTCAACAAGCAATTACGCCTCTTTGAAATGTTGGCACTGAATTCAAAGTAAAATATAAGTCGTCAAATGTACATCTTTACACTGATAAATTGAACTATTCCCATTTTGCTTGAAATTTAATCAATTTGACATTAAATTCAGTTTAATCATATCGAATGATAAAAAATTAATCCTCTCTTTCTAAAAAATAAGCATCTGATATTAATCCCAGTTTAATCATGGTTGATTAGATTGTAGATTATCTCTTTTTGAATAAATTTTAATAATTTTTGATTCTATTTTAATAATTTTTGATTGAATTTTAATCTTTTTTGATTAGATCTCAGTATTGAAAAAGATAAACATTTAATACTGAAAAGATTATTTCGATTTCAATCATGTCTGATTACTGCTGAAGTAATCATTGCTCGGACCTCGGTTCGGACTCAATAAGGTGAAGCGGCCCATAAAAAAAATCCAATAAAAATACAATGATTTTCATTGTCATTGTAACCATGATATTTACTGTCAAAACATTGGACATTTTTGTCCACTACCATAAAATCACGAAATTAATGGTTCACAACAATGAAAATCATGGTATTTGAGAAATTTACAGTAAAAAAGGGGGGTTGTTACACATCTTAACAATATAGTGATTTTTCCCGAACAAATTTGATCTCATCACACTAATTTTCGTTGTTTGAGCATTATATCGTTAAAAATCGAAATCTATTTTTTCTCCCGTACAATAATTTAACAATAAATTTTAATGTACTCAAAATTCAACAGTAAAAATCACTGTAATTTCGTTGTTTTATTATAATTATTTTTTTTTTTCTGGGAATCTGCATGCTTTTTAAGCTTTTTGATTTAATTTATCTTTGAGTGTAAGCGATTCATCAAAACCATTCGCATCTCTAAAAAGTGCAAGATTCATTTTCTGAAGTTACGTCACGTCACAAAACTTCCACTCTTCGCTGTAGCTGTGTCGGAATTAAAGTCAAAACAAAAATACCTAGTTAGAATTTTTCAGTTGTAGATTAATTTCGTTCAAAAAAGTGTGTGTTTAGGTGTCTTAAAATTAAGCCTCCATGCTTGAAATGTAAAGGTAAGTTTTCTGATCCCATTGACCTTTCATGTTACTGACTTCGATCGCAATCTTCGCAGTGAATCCACAAGGGTAATCATCCATCGCCGCTTGCTCAAAACAAAAGGAAGAAGACTCCCACCCACATTTTTTCGATCGACCCTTGCCATCACAGACAAGAGCGAACAGACGTTCCAACTCGATCAGCCGGTGCCTTCGGTGATAAACAAGAGAATCATATCGACCTCGTGGTGGTTTCTGCGTGTGCGTGAGAGGCAGAGGAAGCAGAGCGATCGCTGCCTGGAACACTACGAACGAGCTTTGAAGATCGTCAACCGAGTTTCTCTTCTTCAGTTCGCTCAGGATGACGGTAGAGTAAACTTTCACTGTTGGTTTTTTTTTTCTCTTCGTGTGTTCGGTCGATTGCTTTGCATGACCAAATTCCTGTTATTTTACGTTTTCAGTTCGTCGTTTGTTGAGATTTGTGTTTAGTTTAGTTATTAGAATAGGTGTTTTTCCCATGGAAGTTCCCTGTTGAAACTAACTGAGCTGTGTGTTTCACGTGTTTGCTTTTATTGTATAATTTGTCGAAAATCCACGATCGTCGTGCGGTTAACAGGAACAGCAACAACAGCAGCCCCTTCAAGTTCAGCGTTCAGATCGACACAACACCAAGCAGGTACGTCATCGATATGTCCCCTCCATCCTCGCACCTTTACCTGATCGTTGATGTTGATAGAATTGGTGGTGGAATTGACTTTGAGCGTTCTACGTGTGCCAAAACTGGTTTTCCAAAATATGTTTCCATGCATAATTAATCATTTCAAATTCATAATTCTACCCTCATTGTTTGATTCGTGTTTCAGGCCATGTTTGCACGGGTTTCCTTCTATCCCACGTTGTTCTACAACGTGTTCATGGAGAAAGTGACCAAACGGAATTGGTACGATCGGATAGATGAGAACATGATCCTGGGAGCGCTTCCTTTCCGTTGGATCGCACCGGAAATGGTCAAACAGGAGAACATCAAGGCGGTCGTCTCGATGAACGAGGACTACGAACTGTGGGCGTTTTCCAACGACAAGAAAAAGTGGAGTAAGCTAGGTGTGGACTTCCTGCAGCTGGCCACTACCGACATCTTCGAGGCACCTTGCCAGGAGAAGTTGTGGAGTGGGGTAAAGTTTATCAATCAGTTTTTACCGAAGGAAGAGCAGGTGAGTTCACTGTTGAATGCGGCGGAGGAATTCAAGGAGGACCGAGTGGGAACGGTGTACGTCCATTGTAAGGCCGGAAGGACGAGAAGTGCTACGCTGGTCGGGTGCTATTTGATGATGGTGAGTGGATTGCTGTGTGTGTGTTTGCTTGCTGGTTTTCAGGGAATTTGCGGAACTTGGAAAGTTTTGGAAATTGAGGACCATGCCCCGGTGTTGGTCATAAGGCATAGGGACAATCGTTAATGCCTGTTTAGCCCGGATTGGAAGATTCAATTCGACGTTCAACTCACCGGGAAAGCAAATTGACCGTCCAGAATAATTGTTCTGCTTTGAATATTAGGTTTCAGCTGGAACATTACGTCTGCTTTCGAGTACAATGATACTCTATGCCAAAGGAAGTAGAGAACTTTTCCAACCCGGAACATGACTAGATCGGACCGGGAATCGAACCCAGCAGCCTCCAACATGGTTTTGCTTTATGGATTTTGACTTTTTTTCTGTTCGCTTCAAGCCAATTGACCGCTGTATGGCCTGAAAATTGGGAGAGAATTGAAACTCACTTGAGCAGTCGACGAAAATTACTTTGCTGGAATCGATCGTAGGCTGATCAACAATCCGTCCCAATTAAATGTGCTATCCAAGAGCCTATCCACTAAGAGTACAAGCGAGTTAGCCATCGATGCTACTTGTGATAACAACGAAGGATTCGGAGCAAACTCAAGTCGCACCGGAAGTCTTTCTGGAAGTACGTAAATGGGAATTACTATGAAAGACCGAACCACAAAAGCGATTGAGCGATATTACTGTTCCAGAGGTTTATTTCCGTTTTACGGATTAATTCGAAGGAGAATAAGTTCCACCACAGCTTTCAGATAAACAAGGCTTAAATGAATCGCCTGCAAAAGTACTTCAAGTTTGCCAAGGCACGCTTGTCAGTATTTAGCTAATTTTCATACTGGCTTTAGAACTTTGACAGCTGCGATAGAACGCTACGGTAGCTGCCGGACGGAAATTTTTCTCAAGATTAGCAATAATTTCAAATGAATTCGGAGGAGGGTTCCAAGGGAGTTCTGAGAAGAATTTTAAGGAAAATATCTATGGATATCTAAGGATTGCTCTCAAGGTAGTTCTGATGAACTTCAAATTCCAGGCAAATAAAGTAGAATTTGAAGGTAGTTCTGAGTATAATTTCAATTGAATCCTGAACATTATTCAAAGGAAATGTTTCAGAATAATTTGAAGGAAATTTCTAAGAAATTTCTGACGAGAATTTCAAGAAATTTCCGGGAGCATATAAAGGGAATTCAAAGCATTATTCCGTTCAATACTTAGGGTATGATAAGAAGGATTGCAATTAAATGTCAGAAGAATTCCAAGAGATCTGCAGTGATACTCGGAGAAGAATTCCAAAAAGAGTTCTGACTAGAATTCCAAACTAATTTTGAGGAGAATTTCTGGGATTTGCGAGGAGCATATTTCCAGTTCATTTTAATGAAGTGTTGTTGTAGAACAGGTAGGCGCTGCATAGATACCGATTGATGAATGAATAGAAGTAGGCATTGGAATATTAGGAGTAAGGAATCATTTACAAGTTAAACGTCCAAGAGACAAGAAGTGATTTGTTGCTCTAGATAGAAGAGAAAAACTATAAATCTTGAAGCAATAAAAACTGTATTCGCTTTCAAGAGTTTGTCTTCTTCGTCACAACAAAATCTTCAAGATTTATAAACCTTTCCATGGCGATGATTCCGTCTTGCCGATGTGGTCGGCCGGATGATGCAGAGGAAAAAATGGTCGAATGCGAAATGTGTTTGCGCTACTACCATTTCTCTTGCGCCGGCGTTAACGGCAGTATCGAAGCAGAAGATCGGCATTTCATTTGCTCGGTGTGCCTAGGAAGACCGCAACGTCAGATGATGCCTTCTCGTTCTAAGTCTGGAAAATCTACAACTTCAAGCGCTCGAGCAGCAAGAATCGAGCTGGATTTGCAGCGACTGGAGGAGGAACGAAGAATCCAGGAAAACGCGGCCCAGGAGAAACTACGCGCTGAGCAGGAGTATCTTAAGCGGAAATATGCCTTGTTGCAGGCTCGCCTTGAGGAGCAAAATGATAACGCTAGCTATCAAACTTCGGAAACAATTTGGATAGGACGCTACAGAGAATACAGCCATCCAGCGAACTGTATGAGCAACTCGACGATCCAGCGAGAGGTGCGGATAGTTTTTTACAAGCGGAGCAGAATCAACCGGTAGCAGTATCGTCACAAGCGGGACTACGGGTAGCAGAACAACCGTTCCATGCTTCAGCGGCCAGGTGGCCACCTGCTAACCAGAATCCATTGCCAACAGCCCCGGTAAGTCAAGCGTGCTTCAATCATTCAAACTATTCACCAGTCGGGTATTCAATAAGCCAACCCAATGTGACCTATAATGCCCAACGACAAATTGCTTCAAATACGCCTCATGTCAATACCGAACCATGCATACCCCCCCCCCCATTTCCCTATCACTCGCGAAGCTCCACCGATGCAACAGAACATGTCGCGTGTACCAATCAATCTGTTACCCACCGTGCATGCAGTGTCCAGCAATATCTCGCCAATTGTATCGCCGTTCGTATCAACATTCAACAATAGAATCCCGGTGCAACGGCAGGAGCAGGAGCGACAGCAGCACCATGACCGGCGGCAGCAGCACCAGGAGGAGATGCGGCAGAAGGAGCGGAGGCAGCAGCAGGATCAGCGGCAGCAGAAGCAGCAACAAGAGCAGCAACAGATGTTCAGCGCACCCACCCCCCAACAACTTGCAGCAAGACATGTTGTTCCCAAAGAATTACCATTTTTTCGGGTGATCCTATGGAGTGGCCTTTGTTCCGGAGTTGCTACCAAAATTCTGCTGATATGTGCGGGTTCTAAGACGGAGAAAATCTCATGCGACTCCAACGATGTCTTCGTGGTGCTGCATTGGAAGCGATAAGGAGTCACCTTATGAATCCTGCGTCGGTACCTTTGGTTTTGGAAACACTGAAGATCTTGTACGGGCGTCCAGAGATGGTGATCAATTCGCTTCTACAGAAGGTTCGTTCCACACCAGCGCCAAAACCTGAGAAGCTGCAGACGCTCATCAGTTTCGGTATCACTTGTCGGAACTTATGCGAGCATTTACGGGTAGCAGGTCAAATGGCTCATTTGTCAAATCCATCGTTACTCCAGGAGCTCGTTGATAAATTACCAGCAAACATAAAGCTAGACTGGGCCATATATAAGAGACAGTTTGCTGTAGTAGATCTCAACGTGTTTGGAGACTATATGGGAAACATCGTGGCGGCCGTTAGTGATGTGACTGTACCAAATTCAGCGGACGGTGTGTTCAGTAAACCCAAAGAAAAGGAGAAATTGTTCGTGAATGCTCACTCTTCCGATGGAACAGATTCAAAGAATGAAGGTCATCAATTTAGGAACACACTACGTAAGGAAAATCATCAACCAAAGCCGTGCTTTATTTGCCAAAAAGCTGGTCATAAATCAAAAGACTGCCATGTTTTTTTGGATTTGGATTTGAGCGAACGCTGGAGAAAAGTACAAGAAAATAATCTCTGTCGACGTTGTCTTATGGCTCACGGAAGATTTCCCTGCAAAGCGCCGAACTGTGGAATAGCAAAGTGCAACGAACGCCATCATATACTACTACATCCAGGAAATCCGGAATCTATCACCAATCCCTCAAAAGCACCATCAACTTCAGGAACTGTGTCAATGCATCGCCAACTTCATCATTCTATCATGTTCAGAATCTTACCAGTGACACTCCATGGGAAGAGCCGAAGTCTTGACACTTTCGCATTTCTTGATGAAGGATCATCGACGACACTGATGGAAGAAAAAATCGCAGAAACGTTGGAATTGCAAGGAGAGACGCATCCTCTATGCCTACAGTGGACCGGAGACGCTGAACGAACGGAAGAAAATTCGAAGATGGTTGAATTGGAGATTTCGGGTTTGGAACTCGGAAGCGACATATTCTGAACGACGTCCATACTGTATCATCTCTTCAGCTACCTATTCAGTCGTTGAAATTCGATGAACTCAGCAAACAATATCCATATCTACGTGGAATACCAGCACATAACTACCAGGACGCTGTACCAACAATATTAATCGGCTTGGACAATACGCGCTTGAAGCTTGCGCTAAAGGTTAGAGAAGGTAAAAAAGGAGAACCGGTTGCTACCAAAACAAGATTGGGATGGGCAGTATATGGACAAGTACCTGCAGGATCAACAACGGACTATAATCATCATCTGCACATTTGCACGCGGTCATCGGGCAGTGAACTTCATGAGATGGTGAAACAATTCTTTTCTGTTGAAAATTTGGGAGTGTCCACCTTGTCACCAGTAGAAGGCACTGAAGAGAAGCGAGCTAAAGAAATTTTGAAGAAAACTACTGTACGACTATCATCCGGGCAGTTCCAGACAGGACTATTATGGAAATACGACAATATCGAACTACCGAATAGCAGACCAATGGCAGAACGTCGATTGCAGTGCCTCGAACGGCGTCTGAAAAAACAACCAGATATGTATGAGAAAGTGAGAAAGCTGATTGCGGAATACGAAACAAAAGGATATGCCCACAAGCTAACTGTTGAAGAAATGAAGTCGCTTGATCCAAATCGTATTTGGTACTTGCCATTAGGAGTTGTCATCAATCCAAAAAAAAACCAAATAAAGTGCGACTGATATGGGACGCCGCCGCGAAGGTTGGAGGACACAGCTTCAATTCAGCCATGTTATCTGGACCAGATCTCCTTACTTCGCTCCTATCGGTTCTCTGCAGATACAGACAACGATAAATTGCTATCAGTGGGGATATAAAGGAGATGTTTCATCAGATCCTAATAAGAGTGGGAGATAAGTACATGCAGCTGTTTCTGTGGCGTGATGATCCTTCCCAATTACCGGAGGTTTATGTAATGGATGTCACTACATTTGGTTCAACTTGTTCTCCATGCGTAGCACAATACGTCAAAAATCTCAATGCTCTAGACTTCGCAGAACAGTATCCCACTGCTGCTACAGCTATCGTTGAGAATCACTATGTAGACGATTACCTGGATAGT